GAACTAATAACTTGCTCTGGAACTATATAGTAAGAATGATACAACACGGAACATCAAAATATTTTTGAAAACTATGGAATATTTAGTCAAGCCAGCTAGTGAATGAGCAGCAAAATTATATGAGAACAATCCGATAAGTATATCTCTATCTCCTATTCATTATATCTCTATGTGATTTTGAACCTGCACTTATATGTCTTAAATCACCAAGAAATCCATTTAATGGTCAAAACAACCTAGAAGTATATCTCTATTTTCTAACAAAACTATCAATTTTTATTACTTGGTCCTAAAAAATAATTCACCTCTTAGCTTATTATCATCGACAACTTAATTAATTATTGACCTATTTAATCTATTATATTGACATAATAGCAAAAGTAATAAACAATCATCAACTAAAAATAAAAACTTAAAGAGAGAGAGAGAGAGAGAGAGAGAGAGAGAGAAGAGATTGTGATGCCCATATCTTGTCCTTTTTGAGTTCAACACAAATTTCAACTTGTAATTAGCTTCCAAATAGAATTTCATTTAGAATTTGCCATTAGACTTTGAATAGGATTCCAAAAACATTCCAACAAAGAATTCTTCTTAATGTCGATATTAATTAGAATTTTCAATCATTTTCAAAATGAAATTCGAGTCACACTCCAATTCTAACAAAAATCAATAAAAATATAAAAAATGGATAAAAATAAGTATAAAATCTAGACTTATCAAGAATATGTATTAAATTGTGCTCTTTTAGGAGAAATAGAATAATATTCCTCTAAAATAATAATAGAAATGTGATTCTTCAATAATTGCACAACGAAAAATAATTCATATCCAAGAATTGATATTTTGTTTCTAATCATTAAAACAACAATGGTATGAATACAATATGTAAGATTGCATATGAAGTATTGTAAGATGTGTGATGTAGACTTTTTTCTCTGATAGTGTCACACGATTATGATTATTAGGAATTTATTATAGGAGAAGATGTAATACGTAATGTCTCAACATATATATAATGACGAGCAAATTGGGAGAATGTTAAGTTGAAATGGGTTTGAAAAAAAAAAATGATTTTCAAATACGTTGTGCCAAATAGACACTCAAAAACTTTGCATAATATTGTGTTGAACTAAACAAAAACATGTAAAGAGTCTGTATTGTACATATATTAATGTGAGTAATTCGAATGGCCCTAAGTGAAAGAGTTACACTACAGTAATGTCAGCAAAAACAAATTTAGTCGTCCCTAAATTGCAAAATTTTATTAAAATAAATGCTAAGGAACTAATAACTTGCTCTGGAACTATATAGTAAGAATGATACAACACGGAACATCAAAATATTTTTGAAAACTATGGAATATTTAGTCAAGCCAGCTAGTGAATGAGCAGCAAAATTATATGAGAACAATCCGATAAGTATATCTCTATCTCCTATTCATTATATCTCTATGTGATTTTGAACCTGCACTTATATGTCTTAAATCACCAAGAAATCCATTTAATGGTCAAAACAACCTAGAAGTATATCTCTATTTTCTAACAAAACTATCAATTTTTATTACTTGGTCCTAAAAAATAATTCACCTCTTAGCTTATTATCATCGACAACTTAATTAATTATTGACCTATTTAATCTATTATATTGACATAATAGCAAAAGTAATAAACAATTATCAACTAAAAATAAAAACTTAAAGAGAGAGAGAGAGAGAGAGAGAGAGAGAGAGAGAGAGAGAGAGAGTAAATAGATAAGTTCTTGATATATGTACATACTTCCCTCGAAGCCTTTCATAATCATGAAAACAATCCGCATTCACATTTTACAAAAAGAAAAAGAAATTTAGCATAATTTTAACTTATAACATCATTCGCAAATAAATAAATTTGAAAAATATATCAAATGGGTTACAACCTAACTTGTCGAACATCTAGTTGTGTCTCAATCAATGTGAATGGCACCAAAATTTGGGGCCAATAACTTGTATGCAATTTATAAACGATTATGTCCCTTCGTATAAGCCTTGTCTCACTTAGGGAAATAATTGAGAAAAATAACATTGAATGCACATTGACTATAGGGTAACTTTATTATCACTATGAATTTTATTAAATGCACCATAATTTTTAATATTTTCTTATTTACTTAAATAATCTTAAGTAAAATTACATAATTGAGATTTTAATATACTTTTTAAAATCATAAATCATTATTCCACCACAAACTTAAACCTAATTTTCCCCAACTTCATTCAAAAGACGCTATATCCAGAAAGCAAGAGTTGGAGCCATTTTCTGCATTTTCTTCTCGTATGGATGCACTAGATTTTATAGCGCGCGATGTGATAAAGTGTAAATCATGGTGTACACGTTATATTGTGTTATACAATAGACAACAATGACCACAATATAACATATTTTATAAAATTAATGACATAAAAAGTTTTCCAAATTAAAATATATAGGTTGGCACTGACACGAAACAACAGAAAATATTAATGAAAATTTTGGTAATTGAATTTCAGTTTGTCATCTATACACATAAAACTTTGGTCCACCCATAAATTTGTATGTTTGAAGTTTGGACCCATGTCTCGTGTACGAATTGTATTTGCACAGTTGCATGAGATGGTCAAAAGTAACCATTTATTTATTTTTTTATTTAATTACCTTCATAATAGTTCCAAATCACCAGTTTACAAATGCACTAACTACGAGAATATCGATCCTTTCGCCCTTTAATAACTCCCACTTTCTTTAGTCACTGATGACGTGCTTAGTAATTTACTCAAGAACTTTAAATAGAACTTATAGAAAGAAGAAAATCTGTACATAATTATCATAGTTTTTGAATCAATAAGTTTTTCTTACTTTTCATTTTCTATTCAAGCGCGCGTACACATACATACATATATAGCTCTTGATCATTATCATGTGTTGCTTGATTGTGTTGTAGATATCTTGTTTGGGACGCGTCAAAAACTTGTTTGTTAATAAAGTACAAACTGCAAGTGCACAGGTCGTGTTTAAATAAGAAAATGAAATTTTTTAGTTCAAGCTGTCGATCTCTCGAGAAATGTACACTTTTGATTACAAACTTTATTTAATTTAATTCTAACAATAAAAAGAAACTCATAATTAATATTATGATTTGAAATAAACGAAAAATAAACTAAAACTCCACAAACTAAGCATTACACTTGGAAATTTAGGTGGAAGATGTGGTTGGGTATTATGGTTTTACTTAATCGTCGTCTTATTAATTTCTTCATAAGCCAATTAATAAATAACTTATTTACGATGTTAGATCCGAATTTTCAATTTTAGTTAAGTACCTCTCTCGAGGGAAATTAACCTTAATTAATTTGTTTAACCCACGATATTTTTATGTCAATTAAAATCAAATAATCGAATTAAATATTTGTGAAAATAGTTCAATGGATCACGTAGGGTTAGGGGCATATTTCTATCCCTACAAAAATCTAAAGTTTCTAATACTTAATCTAAAATGCAAAATCTTCTCTCGAATGATGTACAAATCAATAAACGTGATCATTCATTAGCCACATAAATGAACATGCGAGAAATAAAATAGTATATACACATAAAAATAAGTAATTTAACATCAATGAGCGAATATTGAAAATCAATTAAATCTATATCAAGTTACTACCATTAATCCCAACACAAATGATAAGAAAGAAATTATTTATAGCAATAAATCACAAATAAGGGAAAATAATTTAGAAAACACAATGTTATAGATAAATCCCTTTTTTGAGCTTTGTTTTGACTTTCGCGAAATATTTCTCCACTTTTTCCTTGAATTTATCCCCCTCTCTTCTGCTCTAATCTTTCCTCCAAATTACCAAGAAAATGAAAGAGAAAATGAAGAAAATAAAAAGAAAGGAAAAAGAAGCTAAAGAAAGATAGGGGACGGAAGAGTGGAAGAAAACCTAGTGGATGCCCGTTCAGAAATTGCAGCCAAGCTCCTGAAGTTTAAAATGTTAACAAAATGACCTCGTGTCTTTTTTCATTTTTTTTTTAACGAAAGGTGGCACCTAGTCGCTTTGCTGCCAAAAATCATATATTGGTTTCAATTTCACAGCTAAGTCCTCCAGATAATTGCCCGTCAATTCCATTAACTTTCATCTTGTACAATTTGATCCTCACAAATTTTAACTTTCATATCAATTGTAACCTCCAAAAATTGCAACCCCAGGTCCTTGAACTTTTTGACATATGCAATTTGTTCGTCAAATCCATAATTTTGTACGCTTTTGGTCCCTTTTTCACTTCCTTTTGCCTAGTTCTATTTTCTTGGGTGATTTTTGCTTAGAAAAGCAATAATTATATAATTGTGAGTAGAAAATAGCTCATTTAATTAACTTATTTAGTTATTAAATAAGTGTGCAAAAACATACTTATCGGCTTTTACAAGTAATAAACTAGTGAGATTGAAGGAATATAAAAGATTATATAACATTTATCAAACATTTGAATTTGAACAAGAAAATCTGTAGATATACTAGCTATTGTTACATTATCAATCGAAGAATTTGATTTGCTTGATCTGCTTAACTGATTGTTCTCTAAATTAATAGATATCCTAACACCCTTTGCAAACTGAGGAAAATGTTATGAATGATGAATTTGTGTATGAGAAATTGAAACATAGATGCAGCCTGATCTTTAGTGTACATATTTGCTAATTGAGCTTTCGTAGATATATGTTTTACTAGAACATCTTGATTCACTACTTCTTTCCGACTGAAATGATAGTCTATTTCTACATGCTTGGTTCGGGCATGGAAAATAGGATTTGAAGCTAAAGCTAGTGCAATAATGTTATCACACTAGATGATTGGAGAGGGAAAGGAAGACAAATATGTAAT